CTATTGGATGATTACCATAACACTAAAGTAAGGAGGCACAAACTTGATATCAGCAGTGAAAGGGAAACACAACTGCAAGTGCCACATCTTGTGTATGAATAATTTAAAAATGTGGTTCTTTGTATGTGCAGATGAGGATTCAGGTAACATCACCATTTCCAATCTGTGCTTGAAAAGCTCTTACAAAAACACATATATGACCAGTAGTAAAGGAAAAATTAGACTGTCACCTACATTTAATGTCTTATGAGGTAGGGGTATTTACTCCTTTAAAGAATGCAAGCATCAATACTATCAGGGACAGTTCACAGCCCTTTGTGGAGAAAGTAAATATTATTTCATGCATATTAGTGTGCAGTCCAGTGGTCTAACAGTATAATATGGGATCCTTTCTAAAGAAGTTCAGACACATCTTTTACTGCACCAGGAAATTGGAAATAATTTATTTTGACAGAAGCATTAAAATTTCCAATATAGTCACTAGTGGTAGGTACCTATGGAGATCTCCAGAAGGAGATTTGGTCTGCCTAATTTAGAGAGTCAGACATAGGAGTATCTTCTGCTATGGCAAGATTTTCTAAAATTAGGAAGTCTTTAACCTGTTAATAGAAGCTCCAAGTAATGTGTATTATTTTCAGAAGCGGTAGCTTTTTTGAGACTGTCATCTGAAAGAAGAAACACACTGAAATGACCAAGATCCAGTTGCCTGTAATCACAGCTCCAAAATATTATACTTACTTCATAACCTTAGTATTTTTACTTGTAGGAACAATAAATTAATCATGTTTTTAAATTATTGAGGAAGAAAGAAAAATAATTACCATTATTATTCCTGCCATATGCAACTGACTTTGCATATCTTGATTGCCTATTAGAGTGATAGTTGCAGATTGCAGTACATAAAAGAATATGCACTGAACCCATTATTTGCCTGCCGTGAAGACAAATGAATGAAGAGGATACCACCATTTAAAACTCTCCAAAACATCAGTCTGTACAAGTAAGGATTTTTACAGAAGAAGGTGACTTTGTCAAGCCATATTCAGCATTGACTGGTTCAGCAGAGTTTATGTCAGTTCCTCTAACTGCACTTTGTCACTGTGAATACGAACCTGTGGAGTCCAGAGCACAGATTATAGCTGTCGGGGTCCAATAGAATCAAAAAGTTCTACTGATTTTTTGGTAAATCCACTATTTACAGAAAAAGGAGGTTACTGTGAGCCTCTCACAAAGGAGAACAGCACAGAAACCACAGCCTGCTGAAAAGAGATACTGTCACTTACACAACCAGTTTGATTTCAGGGGTTTAAAATTTCTAACAGGAGAGAACCTGGAAAACAGAGTATGTTTAAGCATTGTATAGTTACATATTTTAAAGCTGACCATTTGATTGGGATTTTTATGCATTTGCATATCTAACTGGCAAGAACAGAGGAGATACTAAGAGAAATCTGTTCTTTTCTGTATGCAGGGTAGAATGGTCTCGGTCTGTTTTCTGATGTACACATTAAATATGAGCAGGAAGGGATCTCAAAGATGCCTGTTCTTCTTTTGTTATTTGATAATATTTAGTCATTTTTATGATAAATATGTTCTGCCTGATTTTCTGAGAGCTCACTGTAGCCTCCCTTAAATGGGATCTCCCTTTACATCTCAAAATAATCAGTTCCTTCTTGCCTTCTTGCTGGGAATCTTGAAAGTAAGAAGGGAAATTCAATGCAATTGGTGATAAAAGTGATCATCTGCTTTGAAGGCAAAGAGAAAATAAGGTTTCATAAAACAATGAAGCTTTCAAACAGAGTTTTTATACTCTGGATTTACTAAAAAGAATTACTTTTTCTGGTCTGGAAGGACAAAATCTATTTAGGAGATGCTTTTCAATTTATCTTAAATGATGTATTCTAAATGCAAAACTAGCCACCATCTTCAAAGTAGTCCTTCTACAGTTTAATCATATTTTTTTAACAATTGGAAAATCATATAACCATAAAATGAAATATGCGTGTATATACATATATATACATATGTGTTTGTATATGCTAAATATTTCTCTTTAGAAAATGGTACATTTCTAATCTCTGTGTTCAAATTGACTATCTTTTGAAAAGGGATCAGAAATGTGACACAAGGGTGAAATCCTTCAGAACAGACACCTAACTGCAGATGTCTACAGTATAGATGCCAACACGTGGGCAATGTACCCAAACTTCTTACGTATTGTGCAAGACTAAAGAACCTCTTTAGTCCATCTTATCTTGAAGCATACTTTTACCTAGGGCCAAATGAACAGTTCTCTAAGGTCCGTGGAGTAGATCTGTATATAAGGGAAGCTTAAACACCAAAATGCAGGTGTCTGATTAAAGAACTGAACTCCACCCCTTGTTACAAACAACAGTCACAGGTTGTCACTGCTTAAATTGCATTTCAGGGCATTTTACCATTTTTACTGTGAAAATACCAGAAGCAAAGCTTCTGAGTCTTTGTGCATGTTGATATTTACCAAGTGGCAGAGATTGTTCAGTCCTGAAGGCCTCAGTATCATCACAGGCAGTACCAGCAAAAGAAAATCAGGCTATACTATATATAGACAGAGCTCTGACTGTGGTTGGGAAGGAAGGACCACATCTTATTATGACAGGATGAGACAGAAAGAAATGCTATTTTGATGTCCTTAATCTTTAAATGTTTAAAAGCTGATGTGAGAAGTCGAATAAACCTAAATTATCACTCCCATTTACTTTCTCCTAATATTGAGAGCAAATAGCTACATACAAAGCAAAACTAAATAAAAAAAAAATTACTTGTTTATCAAGGTTACAGCAACATGGGATTTGTATAAAAATATATATAGTTGCTTCCATAAATAGCAAGGTATATACCAACCTGCCAATCTATGTCACTGTAAAACTGAATTAAAGTATATAAACTTTTATAAATTCCAGGAATGATTGGTTCTGAAAAGCATGACAAATGTTTTGTTTCTATCAAATTAGCTATTTAAAACTTTGAAGTTCAAAGTATTACTGCTTGAATAGAGTGCTAAAGTATAACTCTGCCTAAATCTGAGGTAACACCAGAATCCATTAAGCTCCCCTTATTTACCTGTCCATCATAACCTTAATATGTGATTCATCCTTTTCATATCACAAAGGACAAAAAGGTGTTCTTTTGTATTTGAATCTGTAATTTGCACTCCTCATCTTCCTTTCCCAAGCAGTAAATGGTACAGAAGAAAGCTTTTTCTGCAGTTTCTTCAGCTCTTTTTTTATTGAGGAAAAGCAGTTATATGTCAGGTCTCTAAGGAATTTGATGCTCTCTTTATCCTTTGACCCTATTTTCATACTCAGAGCTACAAGAAAAGAAGCTGTCCCACAGAAAGATAACATATTTGGAGCCTAGTAAGAATTTCAGTACGTAAATTATATGTCCTTTTCCCCAAGATCCACTCGACTCTTTTGGGAAAAGAGAAAATAAGCTCTCAAAATGAAGTACTTTATAATGGAAATATTTTATTCCACTCTTTCAGATACTCCCTTGAGGAGAAAACAACACAACTCCTAGTCTCTAGAGGAAAACAGCACTATCAAATATACAGTGCAGATTTAATATCAAAGGATGAGGGCATTCCTGATAGATTAAAGACCTTGGGACTTACACAGTAAGATTTGCAAAGTTTGTCTCTGCATACTATTTTGTAGCTATTAATTAAGCCATAGCATCTCTTTGTATGGAAAATTTTAATAAAGAAGAGAGACAAAAGCACGGTAAAGTTGGAGGAATACAAAAGATATTTCTTTCAAGAAGGAAGGAATAATGATGGCCTTTGAGCTTCATTCTTGATGGCACTTCTCCCAGAAAACAACGCTACTGATGGAAAAGAAATTTTTCTGTTGGGTTCTTTTTTTTCCTATTTCACCACTCTTTCTTTTGTTGTCAGAGAAGAGCTATTGTTCACAAATTGAAATATAAGAAGAAGAGGGCTTACCATGCAGCAATCAGTAATATTTAAACTCCAGAAATCATTTGAGAAATTGCATTTAAAAACTACAGAGAAGATGCAGAAAAAAAATTAAAGCAAGCCCTTAGATGGAACTAAATGCACTAGGCAAGGAAAAGACTTGTAACATCTCATGTTTGAGGAATGAGGTAGAGAAAGGGCATGGAGGCCACAAAGGTGCCAAGTGTGCATGCTCTCCCTTTACCAGTGCAGGTGAGAGGATACTGGGTTAGATGGGTCACTGACAAGAAATGCCAGTAGAACATTCTTGTCACTGAGTCTTCAGATCAGAGTGAAAACTTATATTTTTAAACTGAAATACAGAGCTGTTGGCAAACTAACTGCTGCCTTCAAGAGAATCAGGCTTCTGTCCTGTAGTTCTGCCTACCTGTGCATGTAAATACAGCATGTAACCAAAGATACCTGTAATCCTGTAAACTTATTACAACACTTTATTGTGTGGAACCATATTGGAATTGACTGCCTTGTAAGCCTTAAACTAAGTAACTCATAGATATGTATATCAGGTAATGCACACCAACTCCTTTAGCAAGCATGTGATGTTCATTCACACTTCCTAGTTTTTTAATCTGGCATCTAAACAAGAAACCTTGCAGCAATATTAGTTAAGAAAGAACCTAGATTTAGTAAAGAGGGAAGAGGGAAATTATGTTTTATTTTTATTTAAACATATGCACTCAATTAATATACCTAAATCAGTGTCTGTGCTTCTGTACGCTTACTGTGATGCTGAGCTGTGGTACTTGCAGGTACAGATGGCCCAGCTGCCAGTCTCACTTCTTACACTTATCTACCATATGCAAGCTTTTTAACTAAATCATTTTTAATAACTGAAGTGAGACAGCAACTGGTGTTTTGCTGTTGATGTGCATTCAGCAGTAACTTGAATTAACAATTAACCTTTAATGTACACTAAATTAATACTTTCATTACTAGAGTGGTAGTTAGTATTATACTGTATCTATAGGAAAAAGCAGCTTACCTGAATAACATGTTTCAGCTTGTCAATAATTCGACTTATTACAGGATCTGTTCCCTTCAGTTTTACTTCTGGATTTGCAGACTGAGCTTTGATTCCACTGCCAACCACACGACGCGTATAGCTTGTTTAATACAGAAACACACACAAAAATGGTTTAGTAACTTGTTCTACTCTTAGAGAGTCATCTTTTACTTTGTATTATCTCTCATGGCACCAACATTCCACTTTAATGAGATGTATTAATTTTGTGCACATATTTTTCACAAAAAAAGAAATACAGCATAATATAATTACTACATTCCACAAAGTTCTGTTATTTATTATAGCTTTAAGTTTGCTACAGACTTTAACAAGGAAAGTTATCAACATTTTGAACCACAAAACATTGTGCCCTATGCATGGTTTTTTTGTGTCTGTGCAAAAAGACTGTTCTCCACTTTGGTTTTGCTAAATATGAACTACATGATGATTGCCTAAATGTATCACATTTCAGTTTTAAAACAGACTCCAGATTCTACACATACTGCATGTTCAGAACTAAACCTGAAGTTTCCTAGTGTTTTTGTGAGTGCACATGCAGACAGAATACTTATTGCAGGACAACAGTCAAACTGTGCATAAATTATTTAGCATTACAAAAATTATATAAGTACAGTGGCCAAAATGTACTTAATATATAGATATGTAAAAAAGAAGAAATAGAAACCAGATATATGCTGATTCCAGAAAGAACTACTGTAGTAATTAGAACATTGTTTCTAATACATCAAAACTCAAAATATAGAAACTAGACGAACAACCTAGCAGAATTCTGCAGCTTATTAAGATGCAATTCTTCATTCAACTTACCATGTTATATGTAATACTCAAGTTATGTAAGAAAAACTGAATATCTACCTTCTCATCGCAGATATTGTAAAGTATGCAAATCCCCTCCATATGTTACATATTGCCTGCATACCCTTTAAGAGGATAGCTCTATACATCTCTGTCTCAAAAGTATTTTGCCAGCTGTTATGCTGTCAGAAAAAGAAAGGAAATAACCTTAACAGAAGTGGAGTAAAGAAAAGTCTAATTCCTGCCTGCTAGATTCGCATATGAGCATAGATAACACAGCATATTCAAATTTTGCTAATTTTTTTAATGAAAAACATTACATGTTCTCTTAACTCTGCAGAAAATCTTCCATATATGCTAAACACTGAATGTAGTTCAGTAAAACAAGGTTGCCACATAACAATGATATTTTATCTTTGATCTTTTCTTAAATATCACCTTAAATGAGATTCAGGATATTCCTAAGGAAGTGCACACATTGAATATATGAATGCTCACAGTCTTCAAAAAGTGTTATTTTGTTTTATAGGAGACAGCTTTTTGTGCTGTCTTGTAGCAATGAAGCTACTTGCCAGCTTGAAGTGATGGGGGAAAGCTTTGTATAGAGGTGTGTAAAAAAATCCACAGCGTGCCTGCTAGTGGGTGATTGTCTAATGCAGCAATTTGAGAAGGGTCAACAAATCTTCTGGTAGTTCTTAGCTGAAAAAGAAAAGTAAATGTAAAAACCTTCACCAAAAAAATCCTTTGACAGTCATTTGTCTAAGTTAAAATAGATGAATCAATAAGGAATTCATTCCAGCTGGACAATGGTGCACTTACCAGAAAGACAACTGGTTTAACTAACATATTGGTTTAACGCAACACAGAAATTTCTCTTCATACTGTAACACTATAAAAAGTCTTGAAGGTTATGGCTATCCTTTCTATGCAGTGCTCTTGTTTTCTGTTGCACAGCATGCAAAATCTGTGTTCTCACTTTCTTTCACTCAGAATTCTTCAATTAACAGGTTTTTTTTAAAATGCTGCAAACCCAACTATCACACATTCACCTGTGAACTGCCGCTGTTGGGATGGCCACAAACATGACATCACACACTCTTCTTCCAAAAATAAGACCTTTATTTCATACAAACGTTGTTAATTTATAGTCTTTTCCAGCCAGCATCTTTCATCACCATCGGTGCCCCTACTACATAAACGTGTCAAGATTGGCTGTTCTATAGCTTCTGCAAACTCAGGATGATTCAGCAGACAGTCCAGGATCTCCGGCTATCACAGCTAACCCGCAGCTCCATCTTCCCTGTCCACCCTCTCATCTTCAATGTTTACATTCCTTCACAACCTCGCAGTTGCAACCGCTCAAATTCAGGGCCCAAGCTGTCCACAGCTCAGTCGCCTCCCACAGTGAACTGTATAACTTTGAAAAAGAATACCCTTTCTCTTTTTTTTAATTCAATTGACAATACTCGTTTCTCTAACCATGCAGGAAGAAATCGATCATACAGAAGCTGAGACTTCCCTAGGCACCAATTTTATCTGTTTAGCTTACCTGGGAATTATTTGGCAATGATTCATTCAAGACTGACCATCATTTCTTTTTCAGCTATTTCTACATTGAAACCCACAGCCTTACACAACTGGTATTTGCCATAGGACTAACACTTCTTTCACATGAGCAAAAGTAGCTAGGAAAGTAGTGCTGTCTGGTGAGTGGACCCGACACTAGGAGTTCCAATCATGTTCCCCAACCTCTTCAGAGTTGACATTCTCTGAATTCCTCTTCAGCTGTGGTTCATAAAGAACTGTTGGATTTACTCACCAGTAAAAAGTGTTAGCAATTACTTTGGTTTTCTTTCTCTCCCACTTCTACTCATTCTCTTATAGTCACTCCTTTTCATATTCTCTCTAAGCAAAAATACATATACATCTGCTCTCCAGATAGAGGAACTCTATCTATTACTTTTTTCTTGTATTGGAAATCCCAACCCATATTAAATTTACTTCCACTGGAAGGTGATCCGGATTTGACGAACTGACATAAAAACTATCATTTAACTTTGAGTTTGTTGTAATTACATGTTCTGACAAGTTATAAGGTAGACTGGAAACCTTTTTTCTTTCTTCAGGTGTATAATAAGCCATTGACAAAAGCTTATGAAGTATTGCTTTATTGATTATTATCATAAAAGTAAGATTATGGAAGTTAACCTCTTTTTGTTTAAGCTATTCTTTTACTGCTTGAAATGGTATCTTTTGCATACAAAAGTTATAAATTACTTATATGTTGTTGTTTCATATTCTACATATCATTGTGTTTAATTAACAAATCTCTATAAATCTAACATCTTCAAACATACTAATGTAAACTAAATGATCTGTCAAAGCTAAACAAGCTATTGGGAATCTGAGCATGGTACACAAAACTTCATCCCTGTAGATTTACATTTACATGCAAAATATGTTTCCGTTAAGTTGGAGAGGGGAAGGAAATGTAAAAATCTCACACTCTTGGTTTGAGAGACTTCATTTATTATAAAGTTTTAATACAGCATTAATCACTTGCTGTTTCTCTAAGTACTAATGTACAAGTAATGGCAAAAACATTATAAGGATCCCCACAGAGGTAGTCTGACTTGAGTAAGTGTTGCTCAGATTTGAATCCTGGGGAAAAAAAAATGACTAATTTCTTGCTAGAGAAGTAATAGACCCACCATCTGTGCTCATTTCTGTACAAGCATGGTAATGTATCACATCGCTTTAATAGGCAGACTTGGTCCCCAAGTACTATTCATTTTCATCAACACTAAAAAAAAAACAAGCACCAATATATTTGTATTCTATAAACATGTTTTAAAGTGATGAACAACAAGGTGTCCATTTCCTGAGCTCATATATGAATATTCATACAAATTACCTATTACTCTCTATTGTTTCTATGAATACAGTTGGTGGGATTTACATTTCATTCTATCACGATCTCTGATAGAAGATCATGCTTTATTGGCTATCACTATTTTCTTGGTATGTGTAATTAATTCTTGTAAGAATGAGCCATTTTGGACATGGTGCTTAAGGCAGATCTGTATCTCTATATTCTTCCAGCACAAAATAATCTGTATTATATTGTGATGACAAGTACTGATACACCATATTTATTGTTATGATTTTCCCTGTCAAGCTCCTTTTAGGCAATTGGACCATGTTTCAAGTAGGAGATGAAAGCAATGAAAGGTGTATTATGATAGCGAACGCTATTCTGCAGAACATCCCTAAGTGTCCTGGCAGTCAAGCCTCTCCCAAAAGACCTGGTGATGTTCTACACTTCAGCAAGTTTAGCTGGTCATCCCATCCTGATGTATCTGTTTCAACTGCTACTATCACCTTCTGTCACTGTTGCCTTCTGGTCTCTAACAGTATTTCCCAGGGCTCAGTACTGGGCTCTGTCCTGTTTAATATCTTTATCAACGGTTTGGAGAAGGGGCTCCAGTGTATCCTCAGTAAGTTTGCAGACGATGCCAAGTTAGGTGGGAGTGTTGATCTGCTAGAGGATAGCAAGGCTCCACATAGACGTCTGGACAGACTGAATCATTGGGCTGAGGACAACCGTGAGGTTCAATAAGGCCAAGTGCTGGGTCCTGAACTTGTTTTGCAATAACCCCAAGCAGCGCTACAGGCTTGGAGGAGACTGGCTTGAGAGTTGTACAGCAGAAAGGGACTTGGGGTGCTGGCTGGATATAAGCCAACAGTGTGCCAAGATGGCCAAGAAGGTCAATGACATTGAGTTGTATCAAGAATAGTGTGGCCAGCAGGACCAGGGCAGTGATTGTCCATCTGTACTCAGAACTGGTGAGGCTGCACCTCAAGTACTGTATTCAGTTTTGGGCCACTCACTTCAAAAAGGACATTGAGGGGCTGGAGTGTGTCCAGAGAAGGGCAGACTTGTGAAGGGTCTAGAAAACATGTACTATAAGGAGCAGCTGAGGGAACTGGGGAGAAGTCTGGAGAAGAGGAGGCTCAGGGGGGACCTCACTGCTATCTACAACTACCTGAAAGGAAGCTGCAGTGATGTGCTTGATGGTTGGACTAGATGGTCTTGAAGGTCTCTTCCAACCTTGATGATGATTCTGTGTGACTCTTGGGCTTTTCAATTTTGCTCAACTGACACTATCAAGAGCTACTCAAGAATCTCTATGTTAAGTTGTTGAGTTCCAGGGTCATGATACTGAGACAACTGTTCTGATTGTAAGGGGCTTAATGACTGGAGTGCATTGCCTTACCTCTGAA